AATATCTTTTTAATACTTGCAGCTTCATAGCAAGAAAAGAAATAGATTGGAACAACGTCTCAATGATTTAGTGTTTGTCAAATAAAATAGAACATTGAGATTTAGGTATGACATGCGCAACACTCTTGATCCCATATCGTTGCAAAATATTGATGAAAGCAATAAGTGATTGTTTGAAAGGATGGATGGAGAATCAGATAAAGATAATGAGCCTGTGTTTGATGATGATGGCGGCTTGACGTGGGCCATTGTTGCTAGAGCTTCTGGAGTAGAAGAAAGTAGCCATGCAAGTAGAGCAACAAGTTCACGCTCAAAGACACAACCGAGAATATCTAAATCATCAAGATTAACTCCACTTCAATTAATAGATGAAGAGGAAGCGGGCTCAGATGACACAGAGAAGGAAGATGTTGAGAAATATAAATCAACTGATGGAGAAGAAGATGATAGTTTGCTTGCCACTGATGTTGAGGATATGATTGACTAACCAACCTAACCTACCCTTTCTTTTGATATCGATGTTTTTAAGTGTAAAGACATATATTAGTATTTGTTAAATATTTATGTTTTGGATGTTTAGTGTTTATGTTTTTATTTTTATTTTATTGAATGTGGATTATTTTATCTTTGAAAATTGGAATGTTATGTAATGTGCACATTCATGGCTTTGAGAGTTATTCTATATTTTGTCTTGAATCTTAATAACTTTTTATTTTTAAATTTTTTGTTTTAGTACTATGAATGGTTAGTCTATGTTATTTTTTTTATTTTTTATTAAGACTGTGCGCCTTACTTCAATAAAGCCCGCGCCTCGCCTTGCGCCTAGGCCCCGAGAGACCTTCAGTGCCTTAGTGCGCCTTGAGCCTTTAAAAACACTGCACTACCCTACTCTTCTCTAAATTTACCCTGAGAACAGAGAGCACCCCGAAAAGCCTTACCACTGAAAAGAGATTAACCATTTGGCACTCATCCCCCTCAGAGAAGAAAATAGCGTCATCCGCAAATTGAAAATGTGTCACACTAATCTTATCTCTACCGACCTGTAAGCCTTCAAACAGACCTACCTCTTTAGCCCTATCCACCATCCTTCCTAACACATCCGCTACCATGATGAAAAAAAAAGGAGATGATTATATTCAAGGCAAAGTAGAAATATCATCCTCATCTGGTCTTCTCATATCCTAATTCGACTCCTTCCTCCTTTCCCATTTGCCACATACACATAATTCACCATGGCCCCAACAGAAATCTCACCCTCATCTGTTCTCCCCCCATTTTGAGGGATAGTGTCCAGTTGGACATCATATTCCAAGAAAAAAATGCTATAGTTGGATGAGCTCGGTTCAGAAGGAAGTCACCAAATGAAGGACAAGGAGACAAAATAGGAAAAAATGACATGTGGAGCCCACTAGACAACAAACACGAGATTGCCGTTATCCCTCTCTATATATGGTGATCAAATAGGACCTACAAGAATTTTAGTTAAGTGCCTAACTGTCCAAGGATGAGGCTACAGACCAAAAGGTAGATGACTCTGACACCATATCAATTACAATGGCATGGACAATGAATGGGGCTGCAGACTCTTAACACTTTTCTAAAGATAGTTGCAAAATAGTAACTTCTTTTATTATTGTATCCTAAGTTATTTTGTTCAAACTTATAATTAGTTTTATGTGTCTATCGATAGATACGTGTGTCCTCCAAGTGTCCAAAGAGTGTGTGGGCCTAACATTTAAAAAAAAATAAAAATAAAAAAAATTAGACACATTTTGAGGACTGCCAAACATTTGTCGGGAAGTGTCCTACGAGTTTTGTTGTCCGACACAGACGCTACATTGGCACGCCACCTTCTTAGAAGTGTTCGTGCTTCTTAGGATTTCTCACATCCTACAAACAACTCTCCAATCAAACTATAAAAAACAAAATCCCTTTCAAAGGAGGAGCCATTAAAGCTCAAAAGGAAGCCGTAAAGCAAATTTTTTCTCCCACAAACTTTCAAAATCTTCACATTTTACACACACACAAAAATCCTTTCAATCCATAAGACCCAAAGAACTACCAACCACACATTCACTCTACACTTATGTAAAAAATAAATAAGACCTTATAATGGATCTATAGCAACATCAATATGCTTAGTTTATCATTCAATTGTAAATTGTTTCTAAATGAATTGATGACAAATAATATACTATATCAAACCAAACCAAACCAAACCAAACTAAATCTTGTGTCCCAATCAAGTGGGCTTGGCAACATGAATTTTTTTCCCCACTCACCTTCATCAAGGGCTATATGCTCGATTAAATTAAATAGATTCATATATTTTTTCACAAACAATTCCCATGTCAGCTTAGGTCTTCCCTTCACACTAGCATCTCCATTTATGGAGATCCTATCACTTTTCCTTACTGTTGCATCTATAGATTTTTGTTGTGTATGACCAAATCATCATAAACTTGTTCTATCTCAATTTATCTTCAATAGGTGTTACTCTTACTATTTCACGAATATATTCATTTCTAATTACATCTTTTCTAGTCTTTTTTCCACACATCCATTTAAGCACTCTCATCTTAGCTACACTTCTTTAATGCACATATTATTTCTTAGTTGCCCAACACTACTTTTCCAGTATTTGGGGGCTCCTCAAAGATGTTCTATGAAGCACTACTTCTCCAGCCTACATTTGAATAACAATGAGGTGACTAATTGGCATACTTTTTTTCATTAGGAGACAAATGAGCAAGTTAAGTTGGAAACCTAAGCTTGTAGCCTTTTTATGGTTCACCACCAATATGGAAATCCCAAAAGTAATACAAACAATATAAAAAAATTGGCCACTTTTGGCCTCTTTCTAATCAATCATAACATAGGATTTATAAAGCACGGACACGGACATGGACACGCAAATTTTCCAAAAATGAGGGACACGACACACTGGAGACACGTTCAATATATATAATTAAATTTATTTATTATATGTCATAAAATTATAAAAAAATAAAAAAAAATCATTGAAAGGTAATAAAAAATACAAAATAATACTATTAAAATTATAAAAATAAAAAAAAAATAAAAACATTTCATAATATCATTAACAAATAATATAAAAATTGCATTCAATAACATTAAAAAAAAAACTCGAAAAAAAAAAAAAAAAAAAATAGAAGAGAGAAAGAGAGAGGTTACAAGCAGCATAAAAAGAAAAAGAAAAAAAAGGAAGAAAAATCGAAGAGAGTAGACAGAACAGAAGAAAAATAATTTGAAGAAAGAGAGAGAGCGAATGAGAGAGAAGAACGAAGAAGAAGATCAAAGAAGATTTGAACGAAGAAGAAGAAGATTGAAGAAGATTCGAATGAAGAAGAAGATCGAAGAAGATTCGAATGAAGAAGATGAGAATCGAAGAACATACCTCGATAACAGCACGAACAACGACGACCGACCACCGACGAGCCTTTTTGTCAGTCTCTTCTCTTCTCTTTGTTTGACATCTAGGTTACCAATTAGTTTAATTTTTTATTTTTACAAATTGACCCCACTTGAAGTTTCAAAAATTATGTTTTTCCACCCCGCGGTGTCCCAAACGTGTCCCACTGCAAAATAAAAACAAAAGGGGACACCCTCTGCAACGTGTAAGACACGTGTTCACCGCGTGTCCGTGTCCGACACTGATACGTAGCCCTCGGAAAGGTGTCCGTGTTTCATAGCATAGGATGAATTCAGGGTTCCTCCTCAATAGTTGCTCAATTGGTAATAGAGATCCATCAAGCAGTTCTTGTCTATGAAGAGATCTAACTTATTGTCCCAATTTTTGTCTCCTAGCTAGTTGAGGAGATTTGGTAATGCCAGAGCTCTTCGTAAAAAAGGCAAGTCTAGAAGCTTATCAAGTATTTTGTCCAAAATTTAGGAAGCAAACATGATCAGATACTCTGCTACCCAAACATGGCCACAGAAATATGCCTGCCTAATGATCAAGAACTTCTGAGTTTTGCCTCTTCAAACATCCAATTTGTGAGATTACCTACCTCTTGACGATTTCTTTTGAAACTCGTTGTCAACCAGTCTCCAGACACACTACTCTTAAGTGGGGAGGAAGAGTTCTACGTCTTCAAGATGTTGTTCTCCTGGAGCTTCTTGTTGACTAACTTGAAGGAGAACTTTCCTGCTGTGAGGGGTGCTCTGAGTAGCGTAGCTATATGCTAAATTCTCATTAACGATTAGGAGCTATAAACTCCTACTTATTTTCGTTTTTGTTTACTTCTTTCGTGCAAATATCCTCTTAACATTTCCTGTCATATTCTAACAAGTGTTTCTGATAAAAATTTACTATAGAAACCAAAACCATCAATTTAAATTGGCATGCAGCCATGATGACAAAATCCTCAAATTTTATGTAGGCTTTATACGATGAAAAAGTAAACTTTTTGACCTTTAACCCTCATCAATAAGCAATATACTCCCAAATACACTTCCCAACTAAAACCAGCAATCTAACACTCAGCACAATCTAGATGGGCATTCAATATAAACTCTGGAATCCATGTAAAACAAAACAATAACAGAGGATACAAATGCATATAAATAATACAAAATATCCAAATGTATTATCAATTTGTTGGTTTATTATTTTTTCGTGAGGCCACTTTCAGTACTTTTGGCATGAACCAAAGCAGTCTAGCTTATCAAAGAATTTTAAAAGAAGATGGTGTCCTTGTGGGTTCAACACGGCACATAAACATACGAATTTGACCAACTCCCTTTCCTCTTATCCACCATTAATGGTAATTCTAACTTGGCATAATTGGAAAAACTTTAAATAATTCAATCTAATTTTTAACAAGTTCAACAAAATTTAAAAAATACAAGTTCTACAACATTGTATCTTCATTTAAAAGAAAGCACACAAACACCATAACCACTAAAATTTGAGTCTTTAAACTAGAATCAAACCAACCTAAAATGCATACAATTAACAATATGAACACAGCTTGTACCTGACATTGTAATCTTGTTTTCACAACATCCAATGGAGTGGTGACGGCACTCGCCAAAGCTCCGGCAGCCCCGCCAGCCGTGAGATGAACCAAAATCCTTTCCTCACTAGCATTCTCCGGCGACACCTCGCTCAAGAACTTCTTCAACGCCTCGTACGTAGAGAAATGCACCGCCGTGAACGGCGCATTCATTACGATCGTAGTCTTATACGAAGCATAAAAAGCCCTAATCCCTTCCTCTCTAAACATCTTCACCACACAATCTCTCACTCCTCCATACGGACTACTTCGCAGCTGCAACCTCTGCTTCACCACATCCATCGGAGTCAACACGGCGTCGCTGGCGGTGGTCGCGACGACGCCAGAGGCGGCGTGGACCAGCAGGTGGTGGCCAGGTCTGTTGCCGCCGAGTTTCTGTTTACAGGTCTCGTACACGGAGAAGTAGACGGCGTGGGCGGGGCCGGCGCCGAGGCCCATGGCGGCGATGCCGCGGTAGAGGCCGAGGGGACCTTCGGTGCGGACGATTGAGGCGAAGAAGCGGCTGAATTGGGCGGCGGAGTGGCCGGGGAGAGGCGGCGGAGAGGTGGCTCCGGCCATTTGCATTCGAGTCTTGAGAGTGTCGACGGGGAACATCGCCATGTGCTCAACCATGCCGGCGACAGATCCGGCCGCCATGTACTTCCAGAAGCTGAGGCCGTCGAGAGAGGGTGACGTGTCGCCGCCGGTGGCAGTGGTGGAGTCCGCGGAGGAGTCCATTTGGAGGAAGAGAAGGATTTTGTGTGGGATTCATTAGGGTTTAAGGAAGAACAAAGAGGAGACCTTTCTGGGTTTGGATTTTTAGGGTTTGTGTGATGTGGATGAAGACTCGGAGAGTGAGTGAGAGCATGGAAAAGATCCTGGTTGACTCACTGTTTTTTATTGGATACTCTGTTTGGGCTCAATTTGATGGTCATAGCCAGAATGTTTTAATTTGGGCCTGGTATTACTGGTACTTGGAAGGTGAAAGTATAACCCTCTAAGGTTTTAAATCATTTTATATTAGGGACACAAATAAGTCGAGTCGAGTTTTGTTAAACTCGAGAACGGCTCGTTTATTGAATTCAAATTCGGCTCGATAACTAACTGGGTTCAAGTTAGATTCAAGTCCGCTCAGTTCAATAATAATTTTTTATTATTATTTATATTATTTAATACATAAATAATTTATTTATGTTGTTATTTATATTATTTAATATATAAATAATATATTTATTATGTAATTTAAATAAAGATAAACGAGTCGAACTTGACGAGCTGAGCTTATTCAAGCTCGGGCTCAACTCCTTTGCTAAATAAGTCGAGTTGAGCCAAACTAAACCCTTAATGAGCTAAGCCAAACCAGTTCGCGAACAATTTGGTTTATTGCAGTCCTATTTGAGATAATAAAAAATGTAATATTGTGTATTTTGGAGTTTCAATCATTTTGTTTAGTTTAGAGTTTTTAATTTGTATTTTTTAGTTATTAGTGATTTTTTAAAAATATTTCAATTACTTTTTTCTTTTTTTTTTGGGTAACCTTTTACATTTGTTGCATCGTTTGGCAACTTAATATTTTAACCTAAAAGTTAAAAAGTCACTAAAAAAATTTAAAAACTAACAACTTATACCAAAAAGTCAAATATTTCATTTTCTCTATACTTTTTGTACATTTTTTTTTTATAAAAAGCCAAAAAAAAATCTAAATATACTAATTTTTTTTACCTCATATTTTAGCTAAAAAATTTAAAAAAATTATTAAAATAGTATGTTCTCAAACGAGACTTAAATACAAAAAAAATATAATATTATGTATTTTGGAGAATATATTAATTCAAGTGTTACTTGTGTCAAATTTTAGAGGTTTTGTTAATTATGGTAACTAAATTAACAAGGAGAGAGAGAGAGAGAGGGGGAGAGAGAGAGAGAGAGATGTGTGAATATATTATGTATTTTGGAGAATGAGAGTGTTTGGTAAAACTTATTTGCAGCTTAAATCAACTTATAGCTTAAAATAAGTTATGTTGAAGTGTTTGGTAAAAATTATGAGGGATGGATTATATAGCTTAACTTAAGCCATTATAGCAATAATATGTTAAGTTGGTTTCCAGGTGCTTTTGAAAACTAATTATGCGGGCAGCTGTTTGTTGAGGCGTGTAATGACTTAAATGCTCCTCAAATATTTCACCTATTACCAAAAACCCACTATATAAGCCTTATTCTTAGCACTGTTCACTTGAGAGAGAGAAAGAGAGGGACAGAGACAGAGACAGCTAGAGGTAATTTCCAGCGAAGGCAATTTTTGGCTCTTCAACACTATTCTCAACTCTCTCTCTTTCTCTCTCTCACACACACACACTGTCACGACCCGCTCCCCGTACCCAAGGGTTAAGCATCGTGATGGCCAGTAGCTGAGGTTACTTACGGCCAATTCTTAAACAAATCAAATAACACGAGCGGAAGTAATATTTAAATAAGGGTACCAAAAGAATCATTGGAGTTTCTATTTTTATTACAAAATATATTGATCAAAAATGCCGATATTTACATATAAATAATATCATAAAAATACTGTGTGTGTCTATTCCGCAACCCGACTTTCCAAAAAGCTATTTCTGAAGTGCATTGATTCCTGAAAATTGGTAAACAACTATAAGCACATGGCAGAGCGAGAAATATTATACCAAGAGTATAAGGGACACGAAATAACCATGGATAGTTAGTTAGGCCAAAACATTTACATAACTCAGTTTGGTAAATAAATCATTAGTAACCAAATCATTTAAGTAGCAGAAAACTGAAATACAGATATTATGTAAGTAAATGACCATAACCACGGTATAGTACAGAACAGAATAGAACAAAGGTCACTGAAGTGACAGTCAAAACAGATGTACGGATTCAAGAGGTGGCTCGTACGGATTCTAGAGGTGGCTCCCACGATGGTGTAGCACTTAGCTCCGCACAGCACTTTGGTCCGCACAGAACAGAGATACGGATTCAAGAGGTGGCTCGTACGGATTCTAGAGGTGGCTCCCACAATAGTGTAGCACTTAGCTCCGTACAGCACTTTGGTCCGCACAGAACAGAGGTCAATGGATCCATGACAAACAGAGGATCCCAAAGTGGTCAACACAGAGGCTAATGGTTATTTAAGTCCCTCAAGGCATAAGACTCCCGTGATGGTACTTACAAAACATAATTATATATAAGGTCATAGCCAAATATTCTTTAAAATATAAACAAACATATCCATGGGTTTCATTTTAGCAAATAGAGTTCAGAAAATAATTCACGTAACTGAAACTTTTATGAAACGTAACTTTTATTAATATACTAATTAAACATAACTTGTATAAAATAGATTATGGTAAGTCAAAACATAAATAAAATACATTTTGGTGACTCAAGGTATAATATAACTCACATTAACTTTAATACCTTATTCTTCTTTTCCACTATCAAAGACCCTTTCAAATTCCATTACTTTTTTTCTTCCTTCTCTCTTTTCTTTCTTTCCTTTCCTTCTCTCGTTTTTTCTTCTTTCTTTTCTTTCCTTTCTTCTTTTTTCCTTTCTCCAGGTGAAACGGTTCCTCTCTATTTATAGGGCAAGAGAGCACACGTGGCTCGTGTCCGATTCGATTAATAATTATATAGATTCGTTTTTATTCTTAATAGATATTTAAGATAATTATCTTTTGACTCAATATTTTAATATAATTATATAAATAACTTAATTTTTAATTAAATTACACTTTATCGTATATTAACAGAAAATTAATTATTTATTTTAGTACCACACCTATTATTATTATTATTATCTATATTATTATAATTTATATTTTGACCCCTAAACTTTTAATAATTATATTGTTTTACAAAATTACACATAATAATATATAATAAATTATATATTTTCCGAACTGAGATTAAATAATATTAGTTTAAATTCTACAGAATAATTAAAAATCTAGGTTGTTACACACACACACATACGAACCAGAGCTCTCTCTCCCTCCCCCTCTCTCTTTCTTTCTCTCTCCATCATGCATCAACGCTGTTTCAGACTGGCGGCTAGGGTTTCACGAACGAGAGCTCTCCCTTTCCTCATTCCTCTCTATTTTCATCGTAATTTGAAACTGAAATCATCTCTGGCGTTTGCTCTCTCTCCGCCGCCTCCAGCACCTGCATCGACGGCTCGTGCATCAACGCTATCACATCAACGTTGTTTCAAACTAGTGGCTAGGGTTTCATGAATGAGAACTTTGCAATTGGGATGAAGAGAAGAAGGAGAAAATGGTTTTTACATACCGACAGCTAGGGTTTTACAGAACCAGCTGGTCGCTGGTTTGAAATGGATGAGAATGAGGAAGAGAAGGAGAAGAAGGAGGGCTAGCGGCATACAGATGGGAGAGAAGAAAGGGGCCGACGACTAGGGTTTTGTAATGATAAAAAAAATTGATTGTTTAATAAAAAAAATTGATTATATTAATTGATACTGATTAATGAAATCACAATTAATATAAAATACATGAATATAATTAATATGTAAGAAGAGAAGAAGAAGAAAGAAAAGAATAAAAAACAATTAAGAGAAGGAAAAAAAATAAAGAAGAGAAAAGAAAAGAAAATGAAAAAAAAAATAAGGGCAAAAAGGACATTACACAGCAAAAATTATTTTACAGCTTATTCAATCAAACATTATTCTACTGATTAAATTTATGATCTCACAACTGCACTAAACAGATTAACAACTTATGTTTAAAGCTATAATCTATAACATGTTAAGTTATAATGTATAATCACTTTCTCACAACTCTATCAAACGCGGCCAATATGTTAATTCAAGTGTTACTTGTGTCAAATTTTAGAGGTCTTGCTAATTGTAGTGACTAAATTAACATGGAGAGAGAGATAGAGAGAGTACGATGTGTGAAGCTTCGTATAAGAGAGAGAGAGAAATGGGAGAGTGGTTGATATGAATTGAGATCCTCTCCTTAAGCTCTCTCTTTGCCTCCTTACTTGCAATGGTAGAGATGCACTTTGAGTTGATTCAATGGTTCAGATTTGCCTATTTAAAAATAAAAAAAATAATAAAACAAATTCAAATTTCCTTTTTCCGCCCAAATGTGGACCATTTGATCAACTTAAAGTGCATCTCCACCATTATAAATAGGGAGGTAAGGAGAGAGCCTCATGAGAGAATCTCAACTCGGCTGGTATATGGAATTTATTTTATTTTATTTTTAAACAACACTTTAACATACTATTATAATTCTTAAATTAACAAACCCTTAACACATAAATTTTAGTGTCACCTTTATTATTGAAGAATTTATTTATAAATCCCATTTTGAAAAATAGTAATCCATTTAGTTCTAATGATTTTTTTTTTTATAAATTATTTAGTCTCATTGATTTTGAAAAGGTAGATATTGTTTAGAAATTAGATTTACGGTTATACCTTTATTTTTATGTTTCCTTTTTTTATTCTTTTTTTCTTTTTTTTTGTGTGTGTGTGTGCGCCCGCTAGAAAGATAAAATACACAATATATGAGAATCAAATTTGGGATAATTTTTTTTATGGGAATCTTTTTTATTTGGAAAACATTTTAAAAGGAGTACAAAAATGATTTAAAATATGAGATTTTTCAAACATTCTAAAAGAATGTGAGATTCTTCAAATATTTCATAAGGAGTATAAAAATTCCTTAGTGGTCAAATGTATAATTTCAAACTGTAACACTCCAATGTAACATTCAAACGTAACACGTCAAAAAAAATTCTTAGTGCAATACTCCAATGTAACACACAAAAAAAATTCTTAGTGTATTTTTTTTTTCCAAAT